TCCAATTGCCCCATGTCCAACTGATATACATCCGAAATATCATACTAAGAATCATTGATAATTACTTATTTTCAGTATTAAAAATACTGGATAATAAGTAATTATCAATGATTCTTAGTATGATATTTCTATAAGGGTTGTTTGTGAACAGCTGCTTGAAAGGCAAAGAAGGAAGAGATTTCTGCATTGCATTCTGACTGGGGACGAAAAATGAGTTCATTGCGATAACCCCAAGCGCAGAAAATCATGTGAAGTTCCCGGCCATGCTTCCACGTCGACGGCCAAACCGAATATTCACGGCTCCAAGGTCATGCTCTGTATTTGGTGGGACCAGCTCGGCGTAGTGTATTATGAGCTGTTAAAACCGACTGAAACAATCACAGGCGACCGGTATCGAACGCAATTGATGCGTTTGAGCCGAGCATTGAAAGACAAACGGCCACAATACAACGAGAGACACGATAAAGTGATTTTGCAACATGACAATGCTCGACCCCATGTTGCGAAAGTGGTCAAGACATACTTGGAAACTTTGAAATGGGAAGTCTTACCCCACCCGCCGTATTCTCCCTTCCCCAACGTTGCTCCCTCTGACTATCACTTGTTTCGATCAATGGCACACGGCCTGGCTGACTCTGGACAGCACTTCCGGTCTCATGAAGAAGTAAAAAATTGGATCGATTCGTGGATCGCCTCAAAAGATGACCAGTTTTTTCGACGCGGGATTCATACGCTGCCCGAAAGATGGAAGAAAGTAGTGGCCAGCGATGAACAATATTTTGAATCATAAATGTATAACCAGTTTTTTACAATAAAGCCTCGAATTTCGGAAAAAAAACGGTGGTAGCAAAGTTGTACACCATATTTGGATTTTACAAAAAAAAATACAAATAAACCTTGTCTGAAATATTTCTTTGAAAAATACTCCTATCAAAAGTTATAAACATTTAAACTTTAATGTAGAGTGCATTGAAATTAATGATAAATTAAGTAAGATTCATAGTTTTTCTGTTATGTTTTATTTTATTAAATGTTCGAACTGTTGACCATTAACATCTAAACACTTATTAATTCTTTTTACAAAACTTTGCCTAAGGTGCCTTGTCACTAATAAATAACACTACCCAAGTGCCACACGTCGATCTTCTTGAAACTTTGCACACATGGGCTACGTTCCGAAATTCACTGCCAGTACTGAAAATTTATAGTTCATGTTAGGTATATTATAGAATTTCAGTACTGAATTCAGTAAATTTCGGATCGCAACCGTGTAGTACATCACAAAATAGTAGACACGTATTTTTTTTATTTTTGATCTGTTCTTTTCAGTTGCACTGCTGAACTGGTGCAATAAGTTAGAGTGAGAAAACATATACTTGTCTCACTTTAACTTATTGCAGCAGTTCAGCAGTGCAGCTGAAAAGAACAGACCATTTGGCTAACAAGGCATTTTAAAGTTAGAAAACACATTCGAAAATTTAACACTATAGCACCATGATAACTAATGCTACTCCTGAACGGCATTCTTTTATAGCTTTTACGACATTATTCTTTTATAATTTCATTGTCTGTATGTTTCTGAAGTCTTTAATTATAATTTTGATGTTAGTTTTGCGAGATTCAAAATGGTGGACCGAAATCACAGACATTTCAGACTTTATTCAAAGACAGTTTCGAAGAAGTTTTTTAGATTCATGATTACGATTTTGGCATCAGTTATATCAATCTAGAAGACAATGAAATTATAATAGAGTAATGTAAAAGCTATAAAAAATGACGCTCAGGAGTAGCGTTATTTATCATTGTGTTATAGAGTGTTTTTGCGTTTTCTAACCTTAAAATGCCTTGTTAGCCAAAATAAAAAAATCCGTGTCTAATGTTTTTCAATGTACTACATGTGTGCAAAGTTTTAAGAAGATCGGCGTGTGGCATTTGGGTGGTGTTACTTGTAAGGTGACCACAGAAATGTTGTTTAGAGTTAGGCAAAGTTTTGTAAAAAGAATTAATAAGTGTTTAGATGTAATGGTCAACAGTTCGAACATTTAATAAAATAAAACAAAACAGAAAAATTATGAGTCTTATTTAATTTATCATTAATTTCAATACACTCTACATTAAAGTTTAAATGTTTATAACTTTTGATAGGAGCATTTTTCAAAGAAATGTTTCAGACAAAGTTTACTTGTTTTTTCCCGTAAAATCCAAATATGTAACATTGTATAAGGGGTCCCATTTGAAACTTTAAAGTTACCCCCGTCTCTCTTCAAGAGGGGACGGAAGTAGATTTTTGTTTACATAGTTAGAAAAGTCCCTCGAATATATGAAACTTTCTTATGAACAACTTTTTAATAGGACAAATATGTTTAGAGTTATTAGCTTGTAACACTTTATGTGGGCCACACTGTGTGTGTGTGTGTAGGATAATTTGTTAATTAAATCTATAAATACTTTTATAGTTGTAAAAATGGAATCAAATTATTTTAGCTAATAAACATCATATATTACAGGTTCTTCTGTTTGTGACGGTGATAGTGGGGGAGGACTAGTTTTTAAAACCGGAGGTCTGTGGTATCTGCGAGGTGTTGTTAGTGTCTCTCTTGGTTCAATACAACATGGTGGATCTACTCATTGTGATAATAACTTGTATTCTTTATATACACGAATATCCAGCCATATTGGATGGGTACAAGATGTAATTGAAAAATTAGATCAAAAAGGACAATATCCATCATGCCCTGATAAGTCTTAAATATTATAAGTGTTATATATCATACCCCTTGTCCACAACCTTGCTTTAATTTTTATGCACATTATTTTTTGACTGTAGTTGATCAATTTATTACAGCTTAAAGATTAAAGCAAGATTGTGGACAAGGGGATACTGTTTCTATCTTACTAATAAGACCACCTATTATTTCTGCAATTCATACAATATTGTTGCATACATATTAATATGGCTATCTCTGAATTAAAAATAAAAGATAAAAATAAAACATCTTAATCTTACATAAATATGTTAATTGTTTATTGTTAATAATTACTTACATTCCTCCCCAAATAATTGTGATTATAGATACTTACAATTTTGTTAAAAAGATTGTAATTAATGGCAGGTTTTCTTTATTTATGTAAAAAAAAATAATTATATAATAATTTATTTTTTATTCAATATAAAGGTAAGTTAAATTTGCATAATATCTATATAAATGGTATATCAATTTTAAATTCTAATTTTAGATATTATACATCACAAAGTAGTTTTGATAAAAGTCTTCTAATATATCTTTAACTTTTACACTTAATCTTTAATATACATGTATTTTAATTCTTAATAACTAATAATCGCGCGTAGGATAATAAATTTAAAAAACTTTTAAGGAAAATTATTTCATTTATGTACAGAATTGTAAAAAGAATTGACTGTTATAGCTGAATTAAATACTCAGGTTCCTGCAATTTCTTTTTTTCATGTGATGACACAGATGGTAGTACAATTGTGTTTTCATCAAGTGGTGCTAAAACATTATATACATTTCATATTATTTCATACAAAATACTATAAATTCCATGATATTTACCATCCATACGTAAGTCGTTTAAACGTTGCTCCAACTTCTCAATCTCTGGATTTGATTCAGCAAATATAGCGGAATTGTTGGTGTTGTTTTCATTCAGTAATTCTGCTAATTCTTTTTCTAAATCAGCATCAGAGTCATTGTTTAGTGGTTCAGACAAAACTATATCTATCTCTTTGTTCTCCTCTAGAAGCTAGTTATCAAATAATAGATATTAGGGTGTTTTTCTTTTCATATCACATATATAATGTATATAGTTACTCACCTCATTAATGTTATCCATAATGTCTACAACATTATGTTGCGTTAAACCATCTTGTCCTATTTTTTTCAATATTTCAGATCCAATTTTATAAGCAGACAATACAGCAGAATTGGAATGTGCATCTTCAATATTAGCGATGAGAATACGTAGATTTGTAAGAGCTTGTGAACGTTTTTCTATAGTTCTCTCCAATTCCACTTTTCTTTTTAAACATGTCTTTGCCAATTGATGCAATCCTTTTGTTATATACATCTTTGTTTTATTCAGAATATTAAGTTTATTATGTTCCATGAGTTCTATTTCCTTCATTAGCTTGTTTTCTTGCTTCATCAATTTATATAACCCTTCTTCTACTTCTGTAATTTCAGTTACCATTTGTGTAGAGATTTTCACTAATAATTCATTATTTGAATCAGAATTTTTTTTCAAAGCTATCTTTCTTTTACGCTTTAACCATTCTAGGACTAATCTTACTGTATTTTCTGAGATTTGGTTTTTGGTTTTGCTTTTGCAATATTCCATTATTTCAGAGATTGAATATAAAGCATTATCTTTTTTAATCTCCACAATAGAAAGGATAATATCACCTAATTCTTGTATAACAGGTATATGTATATATCTTGTTTCTGTACTAATTTTGTCTTGACCTACTACATAATTCTTCATTTTATAAAAAGACCAGCTAATTGGTTTTCTCAAAAATATATCAATCGACCATGCTGTCCAAGTGTCATATGGTTCTTTTAAGAACTCGATCTCTGGAATTATTTCATTGTGCCTAGAAAATTTCACAAAACTTCAAATATTTTGTATAATAAAATAAGGGATATAAAAACATAAATTTGATTCTTTATTAATTAAACAATGCATTTATTGTTATTTGATGTTTATATTTTATTGTAAGTATCATATAAATAATGATTTATAATTGGTTGTACATTATTATTTTATGATGTACCATATTATATTTCTTTTAATAATATAAAAATATACCGTGTTTTAATAGCACAATATAATACCTAAGAAGTTCTTCAATCACAGTAACCAAACAAAGAGGTATGCAACCTTTCCTTTTAAAAACTTCATTTAGATCAATTATAGAAAAACTACATTGCATGGTATGCTTTAGCCAGTCATGTATCAAATTATGCCAAAATTTATATTTAGAAATCCAATCCTGTGAATTAGCAGATTTACTACGAAATGGTGAAAATAATGCATTCATTCTTTCTTCTTGATTCCAACATATATATTTTGGTAGTTTTTCTGATAGTAGTTGTAAATTGTTATTTATATTCTTATCACCCATCTTGTCCATGCTGACATTCATGAGTCGAATCTATAAAATGTTAAACTAATCTAAGATTGCTTCTTACTTTTAGTTATGTTATAAAAATATAAATTATTCTAATCATAGTAAAACCGTTTTATACTTATACTTCTTTTTGGTAAATATGCAGTATAACGCCCCATCTTAGATTTTTTTTTAACTTTGTAAATTTGTATATTTTTACGCATAGAATTGATTTCTGAAAAAAAATTGTCGCTCACTTTTCGTTTTCTCATTTTATTATTTTTATGTTTTATGATGTCAGTAAATAGGAAAGGCAAAGAATAGTTCATACATGCTTTTCTCTGCTTTAATAAAAAGCATAAACTGTTATAAAACAGAGAATAGTTCATGTATGACGAGAACGTCGTAATCGTGTACAGTTAGATCTAATTCTAATCCGTATAAAAAGATAATTATTAAGTTTTATAAGATAGTGTATATGATTAAAGCATACATGAACTATTCTCTGCTTTATAACAGAGTTTATGCTTTGGTTAAAGCAGAGAAAAGTGTATGAACTATTCTCTGCCTTTCCTACTTACCGACATTATAAAACAAAAATAAAAAAAATAAGAAAACTAAAAGTGAACGACAATTTGTTTTCAGAAATTAATTCTATGTGTGAAAATATAAAAATTTGCAAAGTTCGAAAAAATCCAAAGTAGGAGCGTTATACTGCATATGTACCTTCTTTTTTAATTCCAAAAATTAAACAAGATTTATATCATAAAATGAGTATATTTAATGATATTAATGATATTAATGAAGTTTATTTATTCATACAAAACTACAAAACTACAAAATAACGAATAAAAGTTCTAAAATCACATAGATTATATATTATAATTACGATGACTTACAATCTCCACATCTCGTCAAAATAGATGCACATTACTACGGTTATGTTGCAAAATCAATCTCTCTCTCTCTCTCTCTCTCTCTCTCTCTCTCTCTCTCTCTCTCTCTCTCT